TGAGCCTGCAGGTTCGAGATCTGCCTGGGCAACTTGACGAGACCTCATCTCTACAACAAATCAAAAATTAGCCGGGCGTGGTAGCGCATGCCTGTAGTTCTGGCTACTTGGAAGGCTGAGGCGGAAGGATCGCCGGAGCCCAGCAAGTCAAGGCTGAGGTGGCCAGGAGTGGCCACTACACCATCGGAGTGAGACTCCAACTCAAAAAAAAAAAAACATCGTCTCCTGTGTTGCATAGACTAGCCTCAAACTCTTGGGCTCAAGTGACTCTCCAAACTTGGCCTCCGAAAGTGCTGGGATTACAAACATGAGCCACCTTATGGGACCAGAAACCATTCTTAGCTTGCCGGGTTTACATGAGGCATTGACCATGTCTGGCCTACAAGGCTGTACCTGCCAACTCTCACTCCAGGCGTCTCAGAAATGGGGACTGTAAATCCTTCTTTTGGGCTTAAGTCCATCGGATTCTGGGTTTTGGGGTTTTGTTTTTATCTGTCATTTGCACTTTAAAAAGGCCAGAACAGGCTGGGTTCGGTGGATCAGCCTATAATCCCAGCACTTTGGGAGGCCGAGGCAAGGGTATGGCCTGAGCCTGTGGGCTTGAGATCAGCCTGGGCAAATTGGTGAGACCTCGTCTCTACAATAAATCAAAAAATTATCTGGGTGTGGTAATATGCCTATAGTTCTAGCTACTTGGAAGGCTGAGGCAAAAGGATCACTGGAGACCAGCAGGTTGACACAGGGGATGGCCGTGAGCATGCCACTGCACTCCAGCCTGGTCGACGGAGTGAGACTCCAATTAAAAAAAAAAAGGTTGGGTTTGGTGGCTCAGCCTATAATCCTACGTCTTTGGGAGGCTGAGGTGAGTGGATTGCCTGAGCCCGTAGGCTCGAGACCCACCTGGGCAACTTGGCGAGACCTCATTTCTACAATAAATCAAAAACTAGTCGGGCGTGGTAGTGTGTGCCTGTAGTTCCAGCTACTTGGAAGGCTGAGGCAGAAGGATCACCGGAGCCCAGCAGGAGGAGGCTGCGGTGGCCGGGGGCGGCCACTGCACTCCAGTCTGGGTGACAGAGTGAGACTCCAACTCAAAAAAAAGAAAAGAAAAAGAAAAGGCTTGTTGGTTAGAGCAGAGATAAACACCAATACTGCCTGAGGAACTGTTTAATGTGGAGACTGTGGACTCGTGTAAGTTGCAAGAGGGGAGGAGAGGCAGAACTGACAAGTCATGGCGTTTGTCACTATCAGCAGGGCTTGACAGGCTGAGCCCCGACAGAGCACCTCCCCACACTTGTGGAAACAGAGCCAAGCTTTGCAACATTAAATTCTCCATGCTGGAAGAGACCTCGGAGGGCATGTGGACAAAGCTTCCATCTCTAACAGGTGGTGATCCAGTCTGTATTTGAAAGCCCCAGGCCACAGGGCAATCATCACCTCCCAGAGCAGCCTCCTCTAGGCGCTCTGATAATGAGAACATTTTCCTTTCTGAGGCTAAGCTTCTGCCTCTAACACCCCTACCCAACTCATGCTGGCTCCTCTCTCAAGCCAGGTGAGGAAGCTCACTTCATCTTTGGTATGATAGCCCTTCAAAAACTGAAATCTGCGCCCGTAGAATCACAGAATTGTATGGCTGGAGGAGACTGCAGACATCCTTTAGTCCTGTTACAGAGGAGGAAACTGAGACACAGAGAGGGAAAGGGACTTGCCTAAGGTCTCTCAGCAAGTAAGTGGAGAAATAAGTGTTAGGACTCAGATTTCCTGATTCCTGGTTCAGGGATTTGTAGCAAATTATGTGATGGGATGGCAGGTCTGGTTGTGCAGGTGCGCCCTGGACAACCCCAAGGGCACCTTCTTCACCTTTTAGTCTACATATGGTGCCTCCCTAGGGTGGTACAGCGCATGGGTTGCTTGGCTAGATGTGAAAAACCTGTTGCCTCGATCTGCACTTTGTCCAAAAAGCAAACAAAAAAGTCTCTTCATCCTTGCTAATGTGTCAGTGAGGGGATAAAATACCCCAACAGAATGCTAAAGCAACTGGATCTTGACTGTTTACTCTGTGCCAGGCTCCATGCTAGGTGATTTCCTTACCTTATCTCACGTTTGTCACTACAGCCTTGGTTGAGACTCTGAACTTGGTTCAGACTCTGAATTTCAAAAGTAGTGTTGTGTCACTCTGATGCTATTTTGCCAGAGGCCAGACTGACTGGGATAAACCTCCTGTGCAGGAACCACATCCTCTTGGACATCAATCAGTGAAGGAAGCTTTCTTCCGCTTTCCTGTGTGACAGATGGAAGTGAAGGGGGAGAGAAATCCCAACTCCGGGCTGGAGCAGGTCTGGGCAGGGGCGTTTGAGCCGCATGAGGTTGAGAGGCATGAGTGACTGCCGCGGGGCGGGGGCCCTGCCTCTTGGCCTGCACCAGTGCTTGGAGAGCGAGGTGGAGGGGGGTCTGCTGATCCGAGCCCTGTGCAGGGGGGTGCCTGGGGTCAGACGGGATGGGAGGGCGGGGAGGCAATTCCTTCCTCCTTCCGCTGCCTGTCCCGCCCACACCTTGGTTCGGTGTGAGGATCAGAGGCAGAAGCCAAAGTAAATATCAACAGCCCGGGCAGAGGGCGGGACAGCATCAGGAGACACGGATGCAAAGCCCAAGGTCCCAGAACTTGTGATGCTCATCTGTGGGATGGTGAGGCTGGCATGGTTCTGGATTTCTCAGCTGTCGGCCTTCCTGGGCCACTGTCACCATTTCTGTCTTCCTGCCCATACTGCGATGGACTTACTCTCCTTTTTTCTTGAGTTGGAGTCTCATTCTGTCGCCCAGACTGGAGTACAGTGGCCGCTCCTGGCCACCGCAGCCTCGACCCGCTGGGCTCCGGCGATCCTTCCGCCTCAGCCTTCCAAGTAGCCAGAATTACAGGCATGTGCTACCACGCCCGACAGATTTTTTGATTTATTGTAGAGATGAGGTCTCGCTGCCCAGGCGGGTCTCGAACCCGCGGGCTCAGGCAATCCAAAAGCCACCAAGCCCGGCTACTCTCCTTCTTTAAGTGGGTCCATCCTTGTCACTTAGAAAAATACAAAGGAAACTTATTGTTACTGTTGAGAAATGGAAAAACAGTATCAGTTGCCATAAACAGAAGGCAACTGTAAAAGTAAGATACAAAGAAAAATAAAGTAACAGGAGCAAAGTCTCCTTTGAGATTTCTTCTTGCCAAGGCTGGGAGCTGGAGGGCTAGCCTCTTTGTTCAACAGGGAGAGGCATTAAAGACATGCATGCTGGTGCCTCATGGAGACTTTCTTTTTCTTTTTTTCTTTTTTTTTTGAGTCTCACTCTGTCGCCCAGACTGGAGTGCAGTGGCATGCTCCCGGTCACTGCAGCCTTGACCTGCTGGGCTCCGGCGATCCTTCTGCCTCAGCCTT